AGAATTAAATCACTATCCAAAAATATATTTTGATGGAAAAAATTAGGATGAAACAAGGGCTATAAGTCATTTCTTTATGATCTCTACCGTCGGATGAAATAAGAGCATCTCAATGTACAACACGTAGAAGCACGCAGCATTTGGGCGCCAAAAGTACCAACCTTTTCCCGCCAAATCAAACATATTTCCTCAGCCTCTCCAAACCCTACCCCATACGACCACTCCCTCGCCCTTCACAGAATAATACAGAGATCGTAAACTATGGCTTCCGACTCCTCTCCGGCGAACGTTCACGGTGGTAGACTTTCTCTCTCTTTCTCTCATATATGTATATTAAAAAAGCAAATACTTTTATAGATGTTATTTTTATGTATTTTTGCTTGGATTGATCGGATGATTTGTTGAATTTCAGCACCATTGTCGCCTGATAGTTTGGCTTCGAGTCCAATAGGCAATACATTTTCCTCTCCCGGAGATTCTAGGCGCCAGAAACGTGGCCGGCGATCTTCTTATGCTACACCCCCGCCGCCACCGTTGGATTCCCGGTTCGCCACCCCTGATGCTACTCCGACCACTTCAAACACAAATTCCCGCCGGGGTCGGGGCCGAGGTAGAAGATCCTCCACCACTCCCACAGCTGCAGCCACACCTTCGTCCACGGACGATGCTCCACCTTCCTCTGATGCTGGTGATGGAGATGATATAGATGAGGCCCCGCCAATGTATGTATGGGGCACTAACATCAGCGTTCAAGACGTGAATGCGGCTATTTTGAGGTTTTTGAGGCATTTCCGTGAAAATCCGCAGCAGATAGAAGGGAAATACATGCAGGCTATTAATCATGCGATTGAAATCGAAGGCGAGTCACTTGATGTTGATGCGCAGGATGTTTACGATTATGACAGCGATCTTTATACCAAAATGGTTAGGTACCCACTCGAGGTTTTAGCCATTTTTGATATTGTCTTGATGGATATGGTCAGTAGAATCAATCCACTATTCGAGAAGCATATACAAGCTAGGATTTTCAACCTCAGGAGCTCAATTTCACTGAGAAATCTCAACCCATCTGGTTAGTTTGAGGTTTTCTGTCCTTTAGCCTTTCCGGTGTGCCAATTTTTTTTTTAGTCTTATACTGTGTTCTACTTTGACCAGATATTGAGAAGATGGTGTCTATAAAAGGGATGATTATCCGGTGCAGTTCGATTATTCCTGAGATCAGGGAAGCTGTATTTAGATGTCTTGTGTGTGGTTACTACTCTGACCCAATTGTCGTTGATAGAGGTAATTAAGAATGGACTTTTCCCTTTGATTTTCTGCATCTCATAGTACCCATGTCATTCTTTTTAGGTGTGTGCGTGTCTAATTAGATTTCTAATTGTTAACATTGGTATCCTATTCAGGAAGAATCAATGAGCCCACAATTTGTGGAAAACAAGAATGTCTTGCGAAAAACTCTATGACCCTGGTTCACAATAGGTGCAGGTAATGTATTAATTCATCTAGATTTTAATTTTGATCCTTAATCTAAATGGTTATGGCGGAGATATTTATCAGAAGAACGAAGCTTTACCCAAAATGATACATATGCTTTTTTTGACTTGTTCATGACAACTTTTGTATCTGTAAGTTGATGTGGATGCTATTTGTTTCATCAACGTGATACTTGCTAGATTCAAAATCTGTTCACTGGAAGTTTGCTGAAATAGCTTCTTAGTGTCGATGATATCTATCTGTAATGATTTAATTTTGCTAAGTCAGTTCACGAGTGTGTATCTATGGAAGACCAAAGAGGCAGTTAGCTAGTCCTTTTAAAAAACCACTCTGATGCTGATCATACAAACAGGTTGAGAACTTCATACATATATATATGAAGTCCGGTAAAATCAACGCAATTGAAAAATATCTGTTCAAATTTATGTGCAAGTTGTGTCATTGTCCTTTGAGTGCTGCATCTTCCTCAGAAACTACTTGTTCCTCTGTAGTTTTTGACAACTTAAAATATTCCATTAGCTGATTTTGTTCAAAAATTAGGTTTGCTGATAAACAAATTGTTAGACTTCAAGAAACACCAAATGAGATCCCCGAAGGAGGGACACCTCATACAGTAAGTTTGTTGATGCACGATAAGCTAGTGGATGCTGGCAAGCCAGGTGACAGAGTTGAGGTGAGACCATGCATAATTACATTATATTTGTCTTAAAAGTACAAAAACTGCAGTTTTTCTTTTGTTGTATTTTGATCTAAGGTGCTAGTTTTACTCTTAGGTTACTGGAATTTACCGGGCTATGAGTGTCAGAATTGGGCAAACACAGAGGACTGTGAAGTCAATATTCAAGGCAAGCACCTATTACTCCTTGGATACCTCATACATTTAGGTTCTCTAGCAATGCCAGAGTTGTGATCTTGTGCACCTGTAACTCAGGTGAAAATAATGTGCTATAATTAGAAATGTATTTCGAAATAAGTAACAATTTCTTTTGTTTTTCAGACTTACATTGACTGTCTTCATTTAAAGAAGACTGACAAATCAAGAATGGATGTGGAAGACCCAATGGAAACTGAAGATGGAGCAAGTAGAAATGATAATGACTCTTCTGTTGACTATGAAGACAAGGTACCGTATCGTACTTCTTCAATACAAAAGAAATTTGTTTTCAATTTTATTTTTTGAGATTCCTGTTTAATATTGCAGGTAGAGCTGTTAAAGGAGCTATCTAAACAACCTGATATATACACAAGGTTGACTAGGTCTTTGGCACCAAACATATGGGAGTTGGATGATGTAAAGAAAGGCCTTCTATGCCAGGTGAAAAAAATTTCAAGTCATCGAAATTCTGTTTGATTCATGTACATTTGAGCTTGATATGTCATCCTTGTTTAAATTTATATTTTCTAAATCTCGTTGGAGTGAATCATTTGTAGCTTTTTGGTGGAAATGCGTTGAAGTTGCCTTCTGGGGCTAGCTTCCGTGGAGATATCAACATTCTTCTTGTCGGTGATCCTGGAACGAGCAAATCTCAGCTGCTCCAATACATACACAAACTGTCTCCTCGTGGTATCTACACCAGCGGCCGAGGAAGCTCTGCTGTTGGATTGACTGCTTATGTTGCCAAAGATCCTGAGACTGGAGAAACTGTACGAGTTTAAAAATATTAGGTTCATTTGTTATTCAATAGCATTGAAACCTCAGGAAATATCGGTCTTACTGAAAATAACTTGGTAGGTTCTGGAAAGTGGAGCCTTGGTTCTGAGTGACAGAGGGATCTGCTGTATTGACGAATTTGACAAAATGTCAGATAATGCGAGGAGCATGTTACATGAGGTGAAAATTTAGACATCTATACTTATCCTTTTCTCACTATTCAACTCTTACATTGTTGTATTTTTAAACTATTAAGGCAGGAAAAAAATAATGAAATACTGCAACTGATACGAAGTAGAAAATACCAGTTCCACAGCATCATTTGTGTGCCATCAAGTTGTCACTATCTTTTGATTATTCTAATCTCATTTAAAATTGGTCTTTCTTCAGGTAATGGAGCAACAAACTGTTTCAATTGCGAAGGCAGGGATCATTGCTTCCCTTAATGCTCGAACTTCAGTATTGGCTTGTGCAAATCCAATTGGATCACGATACAATCCTCGGTTGTCAGTGATTGACAATATACACCTTCCTCCTACTCTGTTGTCCAGGTAAAAGTTTCACTAGTGTGCAAATGCGTAGTATCATGAGGCTATAAGGTCTTCAATTTATCTCCATCTAATTTTTGTGACCAGACCATGGTATATGTCCTTGAATTGGTTTTCTTGGGAACATTTGTACAGCTCTGTAAGCTAAGACATGATATAGAACATCCCTAATGCCAATGGTGTCAATGTTGAACATTCTAAAAATGTGATGATATGTGGAGAAATATTGGAGTATTTTTTTACTGGGATTAACAGTGTTGCTGACATAAAAGCCTGTTTTCTCCAGGTTTGATTTGATTTATTTAATTCTTGACAAGGCTGATGAGCAGACAGACAGGCGCCTTGCAAAGCATGTTGTGGCATTACACTTTGACAATCCCGAGGTTTAAATTTTACTTGGTGATTCTGTTTTCCATTTGTAATTTCACTTGTTCATCTTCCCATTTTGCCTTCGGCTTGCAGAATTCAGACCATGATGTTATAGACCTTCCAATTTTAACTGCATATGTGAGCTATGCTCGAAAACATATACATCCAAAGTTGTCAGATGAAGCTGCAGAAGAGTTGACAAGAGGCTATGTGGAGATGAGAAGAAGAGGAAATTTCCCTGGAAGCAGCAAAAAGGTCATAAATTATGTAAATTTAATTTATTTAGTATTACACTTACTGAACAATTTTGATTTCTGAATGTGTATCGGTATGTAGTCATAATGAAATTTCTTGTATTAATAAATGTTTTCTCAAAGTTGCTTTTTGATCTAGGTGAATCACATTCACTCTTCATTCCTATCAGTCATTCTATGATTGGGTTCCTATTTTTGACATCAATCACAATTCGATAGTAGTAATACTGCTATCCCTATTAAAGTCGATGATTGTGGTAGAATCAATCACAGCTTGGACAATAAAGACAACGATGATGCTTTTTCTTGTTTATGTTTTCTAACGACTCGCTTTTCATTATCTACAGGTGATAACAGCAACACCAAGGCAAATTGAAAGTTTGATCCGCATCAGTGAGGCGTTGGCCCGGATTCGTTTCTCAGAATGGGTCCGTTCAGTTTCACTTGTTGCAGAATGCAGTTCAAAAATATGATGATTTACACTGTTCTCTCATCCATGCAGGTTGAAAAACCAGATGTCCTGGAGGCTTTTAGGCTTCTCGAAGTTGCACTGCAGCAGTCTGCTACAGACCACTCAACCGGTAAACCATTTCTTTCATTCTCTCTCTTCTAGTAGTTAAAATATTAAGCAAGAACTTCCATTGAACTTTGTACTGACCATTACAAATATTTGTAACTTGGCTGGAAGTTGACTACCATGACTGTAGACCAAAAAATATTGCCGATTATATAATTATTCACAGCTTGTAGCATTTACTTCGTTTCTTTGCTGCTAAATAATCCTTGATATGGTTCAAAATGTAAATAGAAAAAAGCTCATTTTTGGTCACAGTAACTAGTGCTCATATTGCGGCTTGGTTTTTTTGTTTTTCCCTATTTCTGCACATGGTCAAATCTTTTGGATGGATTGTACAGGAACTATTGATATGGATCTCATTACAACTGGGGTTTCTGCAAGTGAGAGGATGAGAAGGGAGAATTTGGTATCAACTACACGCAATGTAATTATGGAGAAGATGCAACTTGGAGGGCCCTCGACTCGCTTGTTGGAGGTTTGCAAAATTTAAAGAGTTGTATACATTAGACTCTCGATCTTTAAACTAAGCCAGGAGTTGATTTGTGCTGAAATGTACTTTGCAGTTACTGGAAGAGTTGAAGAAGCAAAGTGCAGGGGCTGAAGTTCACCTTAATGATGTAAGTTCCTTCTCTATGTATGCGAACTTGTGTGTGTGAAAGAAAAGTCCTAACAGAAGGCTTTTTGCATTTTCTTAGCTTCGAAATGCCCTTGCTACTCTTGCAAGTGAAGGACTTGTCGCTTTTCATGGGGATAGTGTAAAGAGAATATGAGATGGAAGAGGTAAATTCTTGCTGAAAGTTCATGGTACTAAAAAAGGTGAAAGAGTTGCTCTGTTCTAAAGCCGAAGTTTCATGCCCAGTGAAAATTGATGTTGGTGACTCTTTAAGTTACGTTTTGTGAAAATAGTGCTGATCGTGAATTCATTTACGCTGATACATGTACACTTTGGGAAGATTCTTCTTTGTATCTTAGGAACAGTCTACATGTTCTATTGGTGAGTTCAATGGAATTGTTTGCTTGAGAAGACAGGTTGAGTTGACTTCACATATTTAGCATGTTGATTGTTTGAGAATTAATTTTGTAACAGTAATTTTTTATTTATTTATTTATTTTTTGAAAATGTGTGATTTAAAACGAGGGAGAGGGTGGAGAAAAAGTGATTTTGAAAAATCAGTTTCAAATAATGGATTAATTTTTGAATTAGGGTATTTGTTCGTGTAAAACAAAAAGTAGCTATTAAGTTTAATTTTTATATTCAGTCAAAATTAAATATTAATTTCAACCATACATTCATAATTAATATTCATTTACTATCTACATTATATATGATCCATTACGATTTCTTTTAAAGACTAGCAATAAGTGTATATATAACTAAAATGAAGTGTTTTGTTTATTTATTTATGCTAGACATTGGTTGGATCTCTATTTTCAACTATTACAGGCATCGACCAGCTTTTTTGATACAGATGGACACGAAAAAGAATCGAATTAAGAGATCTATATTTGACTTAAGTTTAAAATGTTTGCTCATAAATAAACTGAAGGTACATAAATGATTTTTAGAATAAAAAATTACTCTCTTTGTTTGTAACACAAATTTTTTTTCTTTAAAAAGTAAAAACAAAAAAGTATAGTATTTAAACACATTTAGAAACAAATAATTACGAACTAATCATGCTTGTCACATTAATTCTTAGCATTTATTTTAAATTAAAAAATCAATGTTACATTGAAAACAAAAGTGAAAAATCTTAAAATAGTTTTCTTTTTCTTTTGAATGGGATTAATACAAACGGAAGAATAAAAAGTTTCCCCTCAAACATATTGAGATAAATCTTTTCTTTTCTTCATATATTTATATTTGTTTGATCTTCATTATTTTCAAAATATATTTTTCTTTCCCTTCTTTTCAATCATACATGTTTCATTAAAATAGTATTACATACAATAATAATAAAATATCCAATACTATATTAATTATTTTTTAGAACACATAATATTATTTTTTATTAATACTTAAAAATTTAGTTTTAATGAAAAGGTGTAATCAAGATGCGAAACTTGTATTTAGTGGGGTAGATACAAATAATATTATAACATGTTAAATGTGGCATTAATGATAGATTAATTATAATTTAACTTCATGTAGTCTCCTTTTAAATATAGAGTTCATATTCCATATTGGTGTACTCATAATTTTATATTAATTAAATTAAGTTTAATCACTTAAAATTGAAGCTCGTCTTGCATATAATTATATTAAAACTACAATAAATATTATTTTATATTGCAACTAATATACCATTATATTAATACAATCCTTGAAATATTATATTATATAATTATAATAAAATTACATCTATATATGTGAGCTTCAATTTTAAGTAGGATAATTAATTTAAATAATGTAATTTAAGTAATTAAACGTAATTTGATTAATGTAAGATTTTAAGTAATCCAATATAAAAACAATGGGCATTGCACTTAAATGAATATTAAATGGTACAATATTAAATATATAAGGATATAATTGACATAGCTAAATATATAAAGATAAAATTGGTATTCAAAAGTTTCTCTTCAATCCACACTCTTAATATATTGTAGATGAAACAAGTTGATAAAGCAAAATTTTTCTTTCTAAAATTGGAAAATCGATATGCATCCCTCCATATCAAATTTATTAAGGATAAGACTCTCATATAATAGATTTGTTTATTCCAAATATTCTATGTATTAAGTGTTTCTTTGTAAAAGGTTATAAAATCCATTATAAATTGTCGTCAACAGTAACTATCATTCACTTATTATTCATAATATTTTGTGGGACTCACTACTTTTCATTAAATTTTAGGTTTTGTGCTAAGTTGATTCTTGAGAAACGATTTTGTGAAAAGAGATTTTTTTTCATTTTTGTAAGGATATGTAGCTAAAAGTAGGAAAAATTCTTGGAGAAGTATGAAAAATGATTTGTGAGAATGTGTAGTTGAAATGAGTATGGAGAAAACTGGTTTTAAGAAAATTACTTTCAATCTAATCTTAAATATTAAAATTTGTGAAATCATCGGAATAGAACTAAAATTAGATAAGAATGTAAGTATAACCGATAATTTAAAAATTCAGGCAAAGCTCACAATATTTTGCCACAAGACATTGTATTTATCCTCCTTAGGATTAAAATTTAGAGTTTTAAAGTCCATACATAATTTCGATGACTTTTGATACATGTTCAAAACTCCATACATAAACAAACTGCAGAAAGAAAGTCTTCTAGAGGAAGAGAGGAGGGGGGAAGAGGGAGATTTCTAGAGAGAGACAGAGGAAATCGATGAATGGTTGAAAATGGAAGAGCGGGGGAGGGGAGGAGGATGCTGTCCGTCGATTTATGTGATGAGGTCAGGACCGATGCAATTGGTCCAACTCATCATCCCCTGCGAGTCTGCTCACCGCTCTATCTCTTATTTGGGAGAACTCGGCCTCATCCAATTTAAAGATGTATGTACTATTGGATAGATAGTATATTGAAATTGTTGTTTAGTCAAAAAAATATTTAATTTTAATTTACAGAAGCGTAATTAAACTCTAGAAATGAAAAGAAAGAAAGAAAAAGAAAAGAAAGTGAAGAACGAAATCCGAGACGAGTGAAAAATATTTTCTCCTTAAGATAAAATTGTTTCGCAACGATGCTAACAGTTTACAACACTTATCTTCCAAAATACAACGAATACAACTTGTGGTAGAAACACTTCAAACCATAAGCAACATCGAACTTTGAACGAAAATTTTCCCTCTATAAGAAAATGTTTTTGGAGAGTATTTTTCAAGAGTTTTTGATATAATGTTCAATGCAAAATGATATGAGATGCATAATGGATGTCCAAATGGTTCTATTTATAGAAGAGGAAGGTTGTGAGTGAAGTGTCACACTCAAACCCAGCAACCTTCACAAATGAAAGCATCCATTGTTGTCGCTAGCTTGTCGTTGGACTTTCGCTCGAGTGACAGTGATACATTCAACAGAACCTCTTTCACTCGCATGTCGCTCGAGCAATAAGCAAGCTATGGAGGTAGGCATTTATTCGGGCCAATTTTTTCCACTTTTGTATCCAAATTTAGACCGCAATTTCTAATTCATTCGAAATTGATTTTGAGATTTCAAATATACTACAACGATCTATTCGACGAGTAGAATAAGATAGTCTATTTATATTTATAATATGACTATCGGATCAAGTCCAAATATTTGATCGAATTTGACACATTCATTTTTTAAGTTCTATACTTTAACTAAAATTTTTCATTCTCTAAATCAAATTCCAACATGTATTTCAGTTTAACCTCACATTTTTGAAAAATGCTATTCATCCCCAGTGGGGATAAATATCATTTCTCTTTTTGAAAAATGCTATTCATTCCCAGTGGGGATGCATCCCCAATCTATGTGGATGTAAATGATTAGTTAATGTACCGTGGTTAGGGTTTTTCTATAGTTTAGTTAATTCGTGTTTGCTTGAATAATTGGCTACTACTAAGTTCATTTTTGCGCTTCTGGGGGACAGTAATAGAACTCTACTATGAATTTCTTGATTAATAAGGATTTTCATCGAGTTGTTTAGTTAAGAAATTTGGATTAAACTGTTATTTTTGTGGAAATCTAAAATAATTGCGGTTGTAAATTGTGAGTGAAATTTTTTGGGGTGCAAGGGATCTTGACCAAAATTGCTTAATTGGGCGATTTTGAAGTTGGGGTTAAATCTAAAAAATACCGAAAGAATTATGTTAGAATTTAGGATTAACCCGAATTTTTTATTTGAAGTATTGAAATTTTTTAATTGAAATATACGTCAAAAGAATTCAATTTGAAATGCTATTGGAGTCATATATCAAGTTGAAGTTCTATTTTGAATGTCCATTGAGAGTTGGAAACTGGTATTGGACGTGAAGAAGAGTTCGGGATGAAAACATTTTGGGAACAAAAAAAAATATTTTTTCGACAGAACGCCCGGCGCTGTGACGCCACCTTGCATATTCCAATTTTCCGAATTTTTTTCTCATTTTTAGTTTTGGATTCAATTTTTTGGCATCCTACTTCATCAACAATTCTATTATGAGAGTTTGGACGTCCCCAGCATATTCCATATAAATATTAGGATCTTCTATACTATTTAATAAGTGTGAGAATATAAATTACTAGAATTATATGATCTGTTGTAATTTTCTCTTTTCTCAATTATTCTTGAGTCAATAAAATCTCTTAATTCATCTGTCAGATTTTCAACAATTCATTCCAGTGGTTGGTTTCATCAATTGGTATTCAAACAATACACAATTCTTGTATTTTCAACATTGCTAACAGCGATTCGGGCATATTAATATTTGTTCTAACAAGAGAGATTTTGGTTATTTCATAACAAGTGGTATCAGAGTCTAGGTTCAGCAGTTCTGCAAGAGCGTGGGGTTTGATTTGTTCGAGGTTTTTTTGTTCGTGATAGCTTCCATGATGTATGACATTCCGCTTTTGGATCAAAGCACTATATTTTCACTATGGCAGGTTAGGATGCGTGCAGTACTAACACAATTGGATTTGGATGATGCGTTGCTAGGAATTAACAAGATGCCCACAACTTTAACCGCGGAGGAGAAATTACGAGAAGGATAATAAGACAATTTCTCACATTCATCTTCATATATCAAATACCATTCTTCAGGACGTTTTGAATGAGCTTTCTGCAGCTGCTCTATGATTGAAGTTGGAGCAATTGTGCAT